GCTTGGGCAAGGAAATCAAGATCTTGAACCAAAAGGGGTAAGTCCAGGGGATGCTGAATTAGATGGGCTTTTGGAGATTTTTGTGGGATCCATAGGGGAGAGGACTTTCTTTTATTTTTTTTTATTGTGATATAATATACATAACATGAATGTTACCACTGTAACCATTTTTAAATATACAATTCAGTGGAGAGGCCTTTTCTGGTAATTCCGTTATCTCCCTATACCAGTGATGGCGACCCTATGACACGAGTGTCAGAGGTGACACGCGAACTCATTTTTTTTTGGTTGATTTTTCTTTGTTAAATGGCATTTAAATATATAAAATAAATATCAAAACTATAAGTCTTTGTTTTACTGTGGTTGCAAATATCAAAAAATTTCTATATGTGACACGGCACCAGAGTTAAGTTAGGGTTTTTCAAAATGCTGACATGTGGAGCTCAAAAGGTTTGCCATCACTGCCCTATACTAATGAAGATTGTGGGCCCCCTGCTAGCAAAGTTCTTGATTAGTCTTGCAGGATCAGACTGCTGGGTCCCATCAGTTAGGCTTGGCTTCTGCAATAGAGGAACACCCCAAAATGCCAGAAACAGGACAGGAAAAAAATTATTCAGTGGTCATTTCCCCTTGATACAGGGTGAGATCATACTTGCTGCTGTGTCCCTTTAATTTTTATCTCTGCCTCGGCCCTAACCACTTGTCCAGACCTGTGGTTTGCCCTTGGGCCTGTTTTCTTTTATTATACTGCATTTTTGTTCTCTGATTTCTGGCTTATTCTGACAATGAAAAACCTATTTCTTCTGGGATCAGCCTTGTCTTCCCCTTCACTGACCCTGCATACCTTACTTGTCAGATATGATTGACAGCTTCTTCTCTCTACTTGAGCTTCAATCCCACATCCCTGACTGCGTACTGGTCATTTCCTCTAGAATGTGCCAGTCATGGTTCTGCCAAGCATATCTCAACATGTCCCAAAACAACCTCCTCCCCCTCCCCCTCCCCCTCCCCACTCTCCCAGCCCCAAACAATCATGGATAAGAACAAACCTTGGCTTTACCCCCGCCCACTCCCCATCCCCCAACTTCTTTTTTTGCTACAAACCAGCAGCTCTTATAACCTCTGAGCTCCTGTCAATAGTTCATTGAGTCATTCAGACAAGAAGCAAAGTCTTCTTTGATTTAATCTCCTTTCAATGCCATTCAGTCCCTAAGAACAATCAGATTTTCCTTCAAAACTCTGATGGATACCTTGTATCCATCCTTCCCTCCTCCCTCCCTCCCTCCCGCCCCCCCCCAAAACCATGCCCATTTCTAGGTCCTTACCACCTCTAATATCATCTAGTGCTTGCCCACTCTTCCCCTGATTGGCGTTCCTGTGCCAGACCTTTATTAATCAAGTCGTATCTGTTCAAAACCTGAAGTTCTCCCCTATTCCTACCATGTAGGCTTCTTAACCTTATCAGACTGTTCAGTTCCCTCAATTTGATTCCATTCTGGAAAGTCCTTCTGCCAGGCAGCTATATTGTAATAGAAAGTTAAATGAACGTGGAATGAGTGGACCTGCTTTCAGATCCTAGCTTTATACTCATCAGAACCACTCTTGGATCCCCCTTTGAAAAATGGGGATGATAATATGTACATCATAGGGAATTTTATGAGGATTCAATGAGATAAATACGTGTGGAGGCAGGTTAGCAATATACTCAGAACTCACATTTGAACAGACTCCCTTGGTTCAAATCCAGGCTTTTCTACTCAGTAACCATGTGACCTGGAACAAGTTCCTTAATCTCTCTGGGCTTCGTGTTTTTCGTCTGTAAAACAGAGATATAACCGTGCATACCTCCTAGGTCTGTAGTGACATTCACATGAGATAATGTATATAAAATGCTTAATACATGCCTGGCACATTGCAAGCTGTAATAGGCGTAAGCTATTACTATTATTAGGTGCAAGAGACCGAATCAGCACTTAATAAATGTTTGCTACGTTTGTTGATGAATTCATCTTATCCATATGATCTCATTGCCCACTAATTGTTACTACGCACATTCCTGTGCCACCCTTCCTCCAGACAGGCTGACCACCTTGACTTTCATTAAAACATCTTCCACTTTCCTTGCCTTTGGTTCTAGTACTTCTCTTTTCTAGAATGGCATAATTTCTCTTCCCTGCCTATCCAAATTCTTCCCATTCTTTAAAGTCTGTCCTAAATCCTGCCTCCATGAAACTCTTGTCTGTACTTACTGTTTTCTCACTTTCCTAAACCAGTTACCCCTGATTCAGCATATGGTACCCTCAGGTACTGTTTCCTTTGTACTCATTTTACGTCTTCAACTAGTCTGGAAGATGTTCACCAGTCTAGCATTGTTTCAGAATGCATAGTAAACACAGTGAATATTTAATCTCCTAGACCCGTGGTCAGCAAACTGCGGCTCGCAGCTCTTCGGCCCCTTGAGTGTGGCTCTTCCTAAGCCTTAGGAGTACTCTAATTAAGTTAATAACAATGTACCTACCTATATGGTTTAAGTTTAAAAAATTTGGCTCTCAAAAGAAATTTCAATCGTTGTACTGTTGATATTTGGCTCTGTTGACTAATGAGTTTGCCAACGACTGTACTAGACTATCTTATCAACTCAAACTATCTCTTGGAATCATATTCCCTGATTATATTTAGGGTGGAATTTGAAAAAAGGGAAACACACTTAGTTGTGTGAGGGTGAGAAAGGGTCCAGAATTCTGAAACAACTTTTCAGAACTAGAGTCTCTTATCGATAGAGTGGCACCTGAAAGTGGGCAGATGAGGGGGTGAGGGATAAGGAGTTCCTGCTACACGGGATAAGGTCCTTGGCCTCTGGGCCAACGTGTTGGAGAAATGCTTAAGGAGGGGGGCTCAGCAGTTGAGGGGCTGGAGGCAGACCATAGCTGACACAGACAGGAAAGTGTCCCCATTCAAATTTGGTTCTTGCTGTGACAGGCTTTGCCTTTAACTAGTTTCTCAAGTTCTTACACCTTTACACAACATTTGCCCTATTGAGAAACTGGTTTTGCATGAAACTTCCCATGGCTTTAGGCAAATATCCATGACGGTGTTTGCATACCGTTGGGGTTTTACCCCTCCCAAATGTACCAATAAAGATGAAGTGGCATTCAGATGACGTGATATGAAGGACATCACTGCAGCCTCAAAACTGAAAATGCCAGAACTATGTGAAAGGTTCATACCAGGATTTCACAATCACAGTGAAGATGCAAGAAAGACTAGCCCAGATGCAAGGTAAAGAGCGTTGTCTTTACCCCAGTTCTCACAAAGCCTCCTCTGCAGCCTACATGGATCTCCCGTCTCTGAACTCCTGTAGTACATATTATCTAGACTACACAGTTCAATCCTGAATTATACAGTGTCTTCTAAAAATTCTCTGTGTGTTAGTTGTGTTCCCCTACCTCGTTGCAAGTCCCTGAGAAGATAGACTATCTCTCATACTCTTTTGCTCTCTCCTGTGGAGCTCCTCAATACACTTCAGTGCTGGGCACAATAAGATTCTCAACAAGTGTTGACGATATGTTTTGGGAAATGTGAATTCATGAAAAGTGGCTCCACCAAGGAGAAATAGAAGACCTCTTTGTTGAAGTGGTGGGCAGCCCTAGCTGGTTTGGCTCAGCAGATGGAGTGTTGGCCTGCAGACCGAAGGGCCCCAGGTTTGATTCTAGCCAAGGGCACATGCCTGGGTTGCAGGCTCCATCCCCATTAGGGGGTGTGCAGGAGCAGCAACAATGATTCTCTCATCATTGATGTTTCTATCTCTCTCCCTCTCCCTTCCTCTCTGAAATTGATGTTTCTATCTCTCTCCTCCTCTCCCTCCCTCTCTGAAATCAATAAAAATACATATTTTGTAAAAAGTGGTGGGCTTAGGGAGTTCCATCATCATTTACGGTGCTGTCAGCAGCACCAGCCTCCTTTCATCAGTCAGGGAGTCAACTGGGGTTGTAGTGAGAATTAAGTGAGATAATGGTATGTAAACACAGTGGTTGGCCATGAGAGATGCTCAATACTTGTTGGCTCTTTCTCCTTTCCTTCTCTTGAGTATCCTGCCCAAAGTTATAAAAAAATTAAGTGCCAGCCTCTCTTGTTTTTTAAGCTACAGTACAGTTAGGACACAGGGTCCCAGAGCTTTCCCACTTAGGAGAGAGCAGTGTTTGCCCTAGTGTCTGAGATCCCTTCCCAGTTCCCTTTCTCCCCCTCAACCATGAAGGCCATACAGTAAGAGCTGTGAGGAGCATCAGAAATCCTCTGACTCAACCGCTTTATTTTGTAGATGAGGAAACTTGGGGTTCAGGAAAGAGCAGTTGAGGATGGTGGAGGGAGGATCTGTGGGCTCTGGAGTCAGGTAGAATTGGACTCTCATCCCAGTGCCGCCACTTTTTAGCTGTGGGATTTGGGGGAGTCTCTTCACATCTTGGAGCCTCAATTTTCTCATCTTTAAAGTGGGTGGGTAACAATGCCAACTACCGGGGTTGTAGTGAGAATTAAGTGAGATAATGGTATGTAAGCACAGTACTTGGCAATGAGAGATGCTCAATACTTGTTGGCTCTTTCCCCTTTCCTTCTCTTGAGTATCCTGCCCAAATTATAAAAAAAAATTAAGTGCTAGCCTCTCTTGTGTTTTAAGCTAGGTAGTCTTTCAATCACATACTAAAGCTAGTCTTCTATCCACTAGAAAATTAGGGTGAACCATTAAAATTTTTTAAAATTACCTTCACTGGGGATTTGGGCCAATTTGTATGCCTCACAGATAAAAGAAACTAAAAGACAGGAATGCTGAATTTCACAGTGAAATTCAGAGGTCTTGAGGTTTTACCCATTTCTGACTACAGTGTTTGAACTCCTGGGACTTCTAAAATAATACTGATGGCCTTTTACCCTTTAAAATAAAAAATCGAGTCTCTGATATATTTACATGCTTTGACTTTCAACATGATATTTTTCACCTGTTTTTCTTAAGACGTACTCTTCTGCCCATTAGTCATCAATTGGAGCTAAACACTGCTGTTGAGGTCTGTTAAAGAAATAAGAAATCTGTATTGGTAATGATCATTGTGGACTTGTGAGGGGGTTTAGTCTCAGAAATGAAATGGACATATATATCATTTGTAAAAATTAATGCTTGATGATAAACCTTTCTTTCACATGCTGGAGAAGATTTACGGGAATCATTATTTCTTTTTAAAATTTTAGCTAGTTAATATTCATTGTGTTTGGTTGCAATATATCTTTAAGCATGAAGCAGAGCTAGGATGAGACCAGAACAACAATCTCAGCATGAAATACCTCCTCCTTGTGACTGTTCAATGATCAAATTGTGATTACTGATTCATCATTTGGTGAATCAGGAAGGTCTTAAAGGAAGAGGAACAAAGCAGGAGCAAACCTCCCCGAAGTTTTCTCTGTGGGAGGTGTGGTAGGCAGAATAATGGTTCCTCAAAGTCCCTGTCCTAATCCTCAGGACCTGTGAATGTTAGGCTACATGGCAAGGGGGAATTAAAAATGCAAAGGGAATTAAAGTTGCTAATTAGCAAACTTTAACAAAGGGGAATTATTCTGGATTATTCAGGTGGGCCCAATGTCCCCTCAAAGGTCCTTTATAGGAGAAAAAGGGGCAGAGGAGAACCAGAGAGAGGGTAAGTGATGTGAGAAGAACTCTACCCACTGTTGCTAGCTTTGAAGATGGAAGAAGGGGCCATGAGCCAAGGAATATGGCAGCCTCTGGAAGCTGGAAATGGCCAGAAAATGGATTTCCCCCTAGAGCAGTGGTTCTCAACCTTGGCTGCACATTAGAATCACTTGGGAATCTTGTTAAAATCCTGATTTCTGGACCTCATCCTCTGGAAATTCTGTTTCTTTGTTACTAATGATGAGGCCCAGAAATCAGGATTTTAACAAGATTCCCAGGTGATTCTAATGTGCAGCCAAGGTTGAGAACCACTGCCCTAGAGCATCCAGAGGGAAACACAGCCCTGCTGACACCTTGACTTTAGCCCAGCAAGATCTATTTTAGATGCCTGAATTCCAGAACTTTAAGATAATACCTCTGTGTTGTTTTCAGCCACTAAGTTTGTGGTAACTTACTTACATCAGTGATACCAAAATAGTACAAAAGGTTTCTCCAAACAAAGGCTGACAGACCATTTTGCCCAAAAGATGCTGCCTGCCATTCTGGGATTTCACATAATCATGGGCAACCTTTAAAGTTCCCAAAGGAACTGAGACATGGGGAAAGGCTGAAGATCAATGTCAAGGGGGCATAGTGATCAGCAGTTAGTAAAGAATGCTTCTCACAGAGATGCAAATCAAAACAACAATGCAGTACCATCTCGCACCTGTCAGATGGCTATCATCAACAAATCAACAAACTACAAGTGCTGGTAAGGATGTGGAGAAAAAGGAACCCTCGTGCACTGTCGGTGGGAATGCAGACTGGTGCAGCCACTGTGGAGAACAGTATGGAG